GCACGTAACGGCTCAGGGACCACAGGAAGGCTCAGGCTCATCAAAACAGGTCCTGGGCTCTTGTGTCCTCTGCTCTCTGAGTGGGACCAGCAGCCACTGACCAAAAAGTGTTTGAATTCTCCAGGAAGACGACACAGGAAAGGAAGACAGAGGCTCAGAGCTGCAATTTCTTTTGTCTCCTTGAGCAGAGGTGTCTGCTTTTTGTTGAGTCAAACAAAGAATATTCTCTAGTTTCACTGGTTTTGCTGAACAAATACTTAATTCTTATATATGAGAAAATAGATTATTAGACCATTGAAAAATTCTCTGTGCCATGTGTATATGTTTCTCTTCCCCTCTCTAAGCTGCAAGTGCTTTGTGGAATCATAGAATCACAGAATGTTTTGGGTTCCTCAAAGATCATCTAGTTCCATCCCTCCTACAAAGGGCAGGGACACCTTCCACGAGCCCAGGTTGCCCAAAGCCCCGTCCAGCCTGGCTTTGAACCCTTCTGGGGACGGGGCATCTACAGCTTCTTTGGGCAACCTGTGCCTCACCACCCACACAGGGAAGAATTTCTTCCTTCTATCTAGGCTAAATCCACCCTCTTTCAGTTGAAAGCCTCTTTACGTACTGGGCTTACTTCAGCAAGTTCTTTTCTGAACATAAGCACACTTGATCTTGCTTTGTTGGTGCTCTCATGCATTCTCCATCCTGCTACAGGTGGCTGGTTGCTTGTAAATCCAGGCACTTTCAGTGCTCCCAACGTGTGGTTCGCTGTGTTTCTACCACTGAGACAGGAGCTGTAATGAGTTTTTTATGTGGTATAATTCTGCAGAAAAGCTGGTGAAGTTTTATCTTCCAGATTCTGGCTTTGAGCTTCTCAGATCCTGCGTATCTCTGAGGGAACTTGCATCCTATGGCTTCTGCTGCAACCTTGAGTCCTGCAAGACACCCTTTGTATTGTATTGTACCTACAGTACAATAAGGAAATAAGAATAAGGAAAGTAAGGAAAGTATTGTAACTACAATATTTTCCTTAGTTCATGTTCCATTGGTCTTGCCTGTATCCGTGCCATGCCTCTTGACTCTTGTCTACACTGCAAGGGTCTGTGAAAGTAGATTCAGGGTTCTGCAGTGCCTCCTCCAGGAGTGAACTTGTTATAATCAAGTACCACTATCTTCAGCAGTTCAGGGGCAGGAGTCCCTGACGGGTCTGCGCTGCCAAGTGCCACCATATTGTCCCAGCACACTGATCTGACACATATATTTGGGAAGTACAATAACCAAGGGTCACTTGTGAAGCTCTTCATGACTGGAGCGGGTAGAAAGTGTCTGAGGATTAGTAGTAAGTATCTGAGGATACTTCCAGCACTGTGGAAAGATGTACAGAAAGACTGAGGTCATTGATACATGCTCTCCACAAGCAGGCTGCTAGTGTTTATGGAGTAGGAAAGAGAAATAAGTTCCTGCCATTTTGGAAAGGTATTTGCAATGGTTCCAGAGCCTTCTGCTGAGGAGGTAACCTCTCCTATCACTGGTCCCAGCTGCCTGGCACCAGGACTGCGAAGCAGTTTCTGTGCAGAGTTTGGCTACCATCATCACTTTGAGACCCTTTATCCCGGAGAGGGGCAGAGCTGTTAGTCACCTGAATGTTGTGAGCTCCGCTGTTGGTTTGCTGGGAACAGTACCTCAGTTTGTGGTGTTGAAAAGAAAGTAGTTTGCTTTCTCTCTGCTTGAGACCCTGTGCACACACCACAGTGAACTCATGTGAGGGTCCTTGC